TTGGTATTTATTTGAGAGTTAATTGTTATTTTCTTTTTTTATTTAAGAGAATTGTTTTGAAAGTAAGTTACTTATACATTTTGATTAATTAGAGAACATTATTTCTTGATTTTTTAATGATGCATTTAAAAAACAAAAAGGATTTTTAAACAACAATAACAGATATAATTATAAAGTGATGTATACAATTTAAAAAATGTATTTAAAATATATTTCTTTATATTTATATTTATATTTATATACATTTATATTTATATTTATATTTATATATTTACATTTTATTTTTATTTTTATTTTCAAAATTCATATATTCATTCATATTCATGTCACCAATTTATTTAATTATAGGAAATTTCAGAGATATATATATATACAGTATTATATAATGGATAACAAATCATGATCAAAGGTAAAATGTTGATTTGATGAAGTCAATGAAAAGTTGAAAAGTAAATGATATATTAGACTGTATAACAAAAACCAAGCCTGTGTATTAAAAACATTCAATAAAGAAATACTATATTAATTCTTTTATTTATTATAAACATTTTATTTTTATCAATTTGGAACTAAATTTACTTCCCTCCGATATTAATATTTGTTTTTCAAATTTGCATAACGATCTTCAAGCCAATAAAATTTAATTTTTGCAGCATAGTAGAAATTTGAAATGTACACTAATTTTTTATATTGTGCAACAATACACAGCAAACATTCTGGCAATAAAAAGTAAGTGATAAACTGGATTTGAATTGGATCTGAACTTGATCTCCAATTTAGAGAGGTAACAACTATATACCGGATAAGTTTCAGAAGCAATATAACGTTTCATGTAACAACAAACTTCCACTATGCTAATTTTTGCGTGATATCTGGAGGGGAGATCGTCACATAATTTAGCCAATGAAATCAAATGTCCACTATGCTATCTCCTGCTGACACAAAAACTTTATTATGAATTATCACGTTGTGCATAATAAAAAACATTAGTATAATCTATAATTTTTTATTTTATTAAGAAGGTATACACCCATTTTCTACCTGTCAAACACAATTTTTGAATCGACTCAGGATTATGGGTAGAAAAACATACTATTAAAATAAATTCACTTATTATGATTTACTTGAGGAAAGTAATAAAAACTATTTATTTAGTTATTTTATTTGTTTTTTAGCAATTGCTACCTTATGCTGTCTGGAATACCTACTAATCCAATTTTCAATTGTACTTAATTTTAGTATGTCAATTACTTCCAACTCACCTATTTCCATGTTTTTTTTCAATTATTCAAGCATTTCTTTAGGTGTATATCGTTCACTTTTACATGGATCGCCTGTATGAAAAAAGGTTTTTAATAACTCAACTACTTTATCAGGCATATGTTTTCCACCACCTTTCTTTCCAAATTCCTGATTTTCTTTCAAAGCCCAGCCAGGTGGGAAGTAATTTCTATATAAATAAATGGATGCATAAATAAATCATTAGGGTTTCAACACAAGAATTTTATCAAATTTCCCAAATACCTTGTTACTATATGTTTTTCAGCATTATCAAACTGTTCTTCTATAATAGATAAGTCTTTTTTTTTTCTTGATTGTGAACTATCTATATCATCTTTATCATCCATTATTACATCTAAGTCCATTTTTTCCTTTGCTTCTAGATAAAAACATATAATTAGCTAAGTTTTTAGGTATTTAGAAAAATAATTTTATTACCTTCTATTTTATTATCTGTTTCAAATTCAATGTTTGCTCTTAAAAGTGCAACTAAATCTGATCGATTATTTTTTTCATCATAATTTAGGCCTCTTTGATCCAACATTTTTTTAATATCATCTTTCTTTAATTTATCCAATCCCATACCTGGTTCTAAAAAATAAGTGGTAATTTGAGACATAGATTTTAATAATGATGTATTTTAATATATTTGAATATGGAAAATAAAAACTTTTTTTTATTTATTGTTTTATTTAGAAGAAATTACTAATTCAAACCTGTTGATGGCGTTGGTGTTATCCATTGAGCCTGGGAGTCAGTATGTGTGGAAATTTGAGGATTTGGCCTATGTTGTTCGCCTCCCTTCATTGATTTACGAATGTTTTCAGGAGAGAAATCATTCCATTTTCCAAAATTTGGAAGAGCTCTACCACGAACAAAACCAGAAAACTCTCCTTCAACTGGCCATTGGAATTCAAACCAATTTGAAATTCCAGGAATTATAGGTTTTTTTTCTTCTTTGTGCTTACAATCAGGCTCAATATTTGCAATTGATGTTCCATTAATCTCTTTGGCAGCTTCTACTATATCTTGTCCTTCAGATATATTATGTCCAAGCCTAACATATCTTTTAATTGCATGTGATACCTGTGGAATTAAGGGAAAGATAAGTAATTAATTTTATTTATAATAAATTTATTATTAGCAATTAATTATAAACCTGAGCATGATGTGAATCTATCGTTGTTTTGGCTTCCCCTGCTTCCAAAAAGGTCCAACTATGAACATCCACCTCATACCAAATTTTCCAATTTGCAATCATAGCCATCAATTCGGAGCAATGATAATGTGCACCATTATCAGATAGAATTTTTATCCATTTTGGTTTTTTTTCAAGGGTGTTAAATACAACTTCAAAACATGAGGCAGTAAACCAAGCATCTTGGGCTGTATCTGAGGACCAGTGATCAAAAGCTTGAATTTCTAAATCATTGTTATGTTTGGTGTAAACTAACATTGAATGTAGAGTCCATCCAGATTTCCCATAAAAATCAGATTTTGCTTCACAAGCTGACTGTGGTAAAATCTTCATTTTATAATCAACTACAATGATTGCACCCTCCTCATCAAGAGGAAGCAAGTTAGCATTAAATTGAGCATTAAGGTATGTCTTTCTTGTCTGGTGTGACCAATAATATTGAAGCTTATTTCTGTTATTAATAATTTGTTCTAAATCATTTGGCATAACCTGCATTAGTTGATGAAACCATTTTGATATCTTATTGCATTGGTTACAGTTAGAAATATGGGGATTGGCATATTGTCCAAAAGCATATGGAAGACAATGCTCAAGACATTCAACATGATAAGTATTTCCTAGGCAATCCACTTCAAGTTCTTTTTCATATTCACATTTTAAATGACGTTGGATTGATTCAAGTTCTGCAATTAATTGATTCTAACAATATATGAAATTATTTCAGTATTTAATTGTTAAATATAACTATTATAAAGCATTTACTCACCTGATGATCTTTTTCATTTATTCTCCCTGATATTAGGATTTTCACATCATCAAATACACCATACCCATACTCAAAACAAATGCCACACAAACCTCCCATATCTTCCTTATATACAAAAGAACCATCATTCAAGCGTTTTAAAAATGATGTCCTTTTCATTCCAGATGGATGTAGTTCAAAGTATTTTCTCCACAATGTTTCTTTTTGATCTTTCAAATATTTTACAGGATCACCAGTTTTTTCATTTACTCTATAAGAACTTAAATTGACAATATTTTTGTCAGCAAAAAAAATTTCAAATTGTCTTTTAGCTTCTTCAGTAATTCGAACTCTTGTAATTATTGGTTTTTCAACTCCTGCACATCCTGGACCATTAACTTTGGAATGCAATCTTGCTTTGGATATTGTTTTAGATGACACCTATTTTATTCAGAGAAGTATAAATTGTTGCAATTTAATCATTAATGGCATTACTATCAATAAGAATGTTATGATGTTTATGTACATCTTAATGAACTTAATAGATTTTGAGACTAATGATGATTTTTTTTTTTAATGAAATAACAAGGATTCAATTTAAAATTCAATGGAAAAACAATTTTATTGGATATACTTTATTGTAAATAATCAACATCAAAGTATGATGTTATTAAACAATATTTAATCTTAATGATATTACTCAAAATTTTAAATCAAAAATTATTTCTAATAAAAAATTATCATCTAGATTATAAAATCTGAGGAATTTAAATATTTTGGAGAACTCTTTAATTATAACAACCATCATTAATTCATTAATCCATTGGGCCATCAACATTGTTCAATGTCACCATTGATACAAAGCAATGATGAAATGTAGTTCAAATATGCATATTAAAATAAACTTACCTTGAGTTTTCTTTGAAGTTCTTCGTATTGAAATTCGCTTGCAATTATTGACAATATTCTTATTTTACCATCATAGCCTGTTTTGTTTTGTTCCAATGATTTATTAAAACATTCCCAAAAAATATCAGCTATAGTGAAATCTATTTTTTTTTTCACATTCAAAAAGCCATTACTATTTAAAACCTCCAAGGTATCTTGATCAACTGATGGATCAAAGCTTCGAGACCAAAATTCATGCTTAAATTCATCAAAAAATTTTGTATTAGTTCAAATCAATGATAAAATATTTTTAATTTTAAGATGATTTTAAATCCTGGCTCAAGATGATTTTGCATTAGTTTTTTAAGAAATTGATTCCAGTGAAAATGAAGAAATTAAAAATACTCATGCAAATCTTGAAAATTATGAATTTAGAATAAAAAACTGAATAAAAATTACCTCTAACTTGTCTATTGAAACTGGTGTGATTTCTGTACATCTGGTAGCCCTCAACATTGCACGCCATGCTCTCATTTCACGTTCACTAAATTCATGATTGTATGGATATAAATTTTTTAATTTTCCATGCAGTTCAATAATTGTGCTTTTTTGATCTAGCCAAGATTGAAAAACTCTTCTCCAGTCAATATTAGGAATTCTTTTTTTCAAATTATAATTGAAAATAGCATCCATAATTTTTTTGTTATTCCAAGATATAGGTGTGCATTTAGGAATTTTACCAATTTATATATTTTGTTTGGTCATTGGATGTTCCAACCCAAACAACTACATTCCAGTGAATTTTTTATAAATCTTTGTATTTTCCCATACTTCTGATGGTGTAGATCCAAAGAAAAACACTGGTGATTCAATATTATCCACATATATAGAAATTTTGCAATGATCATATTCAACAGTTTGAATAAACAAAGCACGTGTTCTATTATATTCACCTATAAATGAAGAAGTATAATCAATTTTGACACCAAAATCACTCTCTTCTCCCATGCCAATATCTATAATATATATTAAAAATTTGTCAAACTTTATAGCAAAGGGTTGAAAATCTATATCCTTCAGTGAAGCTTCCAATATTTCTTTGTTATCCCAACCTAAAACCAAAGGACCAGAAAAATTTGTATTTGAATTAGGATTTAGCCTTTTATATAAGCTTGTTATTGCATTACTAGGTGCTTCTTCTATATCACTAAACTTGCACCCAGAACGACATCTATATCCTGGTAGTAAATTACTAGTTTCATTGCCTTCAGTAATGCATGTATAGTATTGTCTGCCATTTTGTTCTATGCTAGTTTCCCAACCAACTCTCCTTGGATAAAGTAACGCACCTTCTTCTGGTTTACTTTTACTCTTCATAACCCACCAATCTCTTGAGTTTACACCATAATGCAAGTGTGGCTTTATTTGGCCTATTGAAATGAGATTTATAGTTAATTTGGGACGGTTAGTCATTTTAAAATTTTTAAAATTAAAATCGGCTCAATATTATTTATACTAATTAATTTTATTATGTTTATTATCCCCGCATTTTACTATTAAAATGTATGTCGATCCTTTCCGTCTATCACGAATTGCGAATTAATGTGTACGCGTCGATCAAATACAAACTTCTTTTATTTAATTTTTTTAAAAAATGTCTTCAGGAAATAAAAGAAGAAGACAAGAAACTGAAACGAGGAATGATATGTAAGTGTTTTAAGGATGGTGGTAGTGGTTATCGCCCGCCACTTGTCGTTACTCTAGTTTCATTAATACATTTAACAAATATATTATACATTTAACCAATATATTAGAGAAAAAAGAACAAAAGTCAGTCAAAATGACTTGATAAAATTTGATAGAGCCAAGGAACTCAATAAACATTTGGAAAAAATCCGCTGTGATTACACACAGGATTTAAAAAGTGAACTCAAATTAGTTCGTCAACGTGCCACTGCTCTATATCTTATTGACAAGCTCGCATTAAGAGCAGGAAATAAGAAAACTGGCAAGGGAGCAGATACTGTGGGTTGTTGTTCCCTCAGATGTGAACATATTACTTTGGCACCACCAAGGACAGTTGAGTTTGATTTCTTAGGTAAAAATTCAATAAGATATGTAAACTCAGTAGAAGTAATAGAACAAGTTTTCGAAAACCTTGAAATATTTATGAAGGATAAGGAACCCAGTGAAGAGTTATTTGACAGATTAATGGTACAAAATACAAGATTTAAATTTAATCAATCACATATATGTGTGTGTGTTTGTGTTTGTTCTATTAATAAATTCAAATTTTCTTTAAAAATTCATTTAGACTCAAGATTTGAATAGTTATTTGTCTGAATACATGAAAGGGCTAACCATCAAAGTATTTCGTACATACAATGCATCTTGTACCTTCCAAATTGAGCTAATGAAAGGGATGGAGAATGCTACTACTGTAATGGAGAAAATAGCAGCATATAAAAAAGCAAACAGACAGGTTGCTATTTTATGTAACCATCAACATTCCATCAGCAAAGATCATGATAATCAAATCAATAGAATTGACAATAAGGTAATTTTTTTTTTATCATGATTATTGTTAATTTCTTAAATAAATTCACATGTATGTATTCTTTAATATGTTAGATCCATGCTTTGAAATACCAAAGAAATAAATGTAAAATGGAATTGTTGAGTCTTGTCCCCAGATTAAAAAAGAAAGAGCCTCAACTATTTGAACCAGAATCAGACATGGAAGAGGAATGGATAATTGAGCATGAGAAGCAATTGATGGAAAGGGAACATTTGGCAGTTGTAAAAAAATTTGAAAGAGATAATGAAAAGCTTACAGAAGAAGGAAAGTCACCTAAACCCAATGAGCATCACGAAAGGTAGCGCTCCCTACTAAAAATGGTTGACAAAATTATACATGACGAAATTCAATATTTATCATATTTATCATTATCACCAAGTATCTTTTGACGAAATTGACGAAATGACGAAACTGACGAAATCGATTTAGCCAATCAAATCAGATACTTTGATACTTGCTGATAAATTTTAGTGACGTGATGGACGATTGATTTCTATATATTTCAGCCAATATTAATAATATATAACAACATGAATTAACAAAAAATAGTGATGGGAAAATTTCTGGTAATATGTAATTACCATATCAGCCGATTTGGTTTTTTGGGCCCTTCTTTCAAACTAGTGTTGGTCGCCAAAACTATTTTGAAGAGATGAAAGTCAAAACTAAAATTAAAAGTTATATGTCAAAACTAGTTTCAACTTATGGCAAAACCTTTTGACTTTTGTACGGTTGCGAAGCTCTCTAGTTTTGCTATAAATAACATCCCCATAATTTTTTTAAAAATGAAAATTTCAAATTTTGTGATGAGTGGTAAAAAATATGTAAATTCTGTTAAGTCAAAGTCACGTGATATGATCGATAAATTTCTCATTCAGTCATTATTTTTTGCTGATTTTGGTGAGATATCACCAATACTTTAGTTACATCGGTGACTAAAAGTCAAAAGTTTCATCATCATACAACCCACAGGTAAAAAAAATCAAATTTTCCTAGGTAAATATATATATATACATATTAATATATTTTAAAAATTTTTGCGCACACTAAAACCTAAAAATTTTATTAGATCATCTTTCTATTGTAACCGATAATTTTGTTCCACACCAAAATTCATAAATATTTCTTAATGTCTTTGAAATTAACAGCATTTCGTTTATTATCACCTACAATTGGTGGTATTCGTGGTAATTAATTTATTAAAATTCATTGATTTTTTTAGACATTTATTTATGTTGATTGGAATTCTTATCTTTATAAATAGGTTTTTCACAACGAACATTTTTTGCTTTCCGAATGAATCAATTTGTAAATTTACAAAGTAATTTCAAAAGGTTATCATCAGCTCATAATAGCAATAACATCAACAACATTAATAATAATACAACATCAAAATCACCAACATCGACAAAAAATATAATTTCAGTAAATAATACACAACAAACAGACCCATTTGTATTACAACCTGAAAGTAATACGCAATATAATTTCAATACATATAAAGTGGTTAAGGATTTGGAAGGTCAAGGGTTAACTAGAGGACAAGCAAACTCAATAATGAGATGCATGGAAGCAGTATTAATCAATAGGTTCGATAGCAATTAAATTTAAATTCTCTTAAAAAAATCATTATTATAATTATGGCTATTATTAGTATTATTTATTTACTACTTTATAATAGAAATTATTTGAAATTTTAGCCTCAAGATTAGATCAGAGTTATTATCCAAAGTAGAACTAGAAAATGTAAGGAATGGATATTGAACAGAATACGAGAGAAGGATAATGGGAAAGAATAATACGAAGGAAGAGATTCCATTCATTTCTTTCTCTATTCTTTCATGTCATTTAATAACAATTTCTATATCCTCAAATGTCACAAAATACAAATAGGAAACATATCATTATAAAGCAGAATTAACAGATTTTCGGATAGAATTAGAAGTAAGTCGAAAGAAAAATCAAACGGCATTGATGGCAGAAATTGCTTCGATACAAAGAGATGTTTCATCACTAGGACAAAAGCTTCAAGATGATATAGCAAATATGAATAGCAATATTCAAAATGATATTAATATGCGTAAAGATCAAGTAAGATCTCAAGAGAATAAAATGGCAATAGCTATCCAAGAAGTTAATAATAAATTCATTATTGCATCTGGTGATATAAGAACTAGAATTGAAGCTGTAAAATGGGAAATGACTAGATTAGTATTTAGTAAGTAACATTAGTCAATTATTATTTATTATATTCTTATTTATAATTTACTAATGTAAATAAAATATTTAATAAATAGTGGGAGTATTTGGGATTTCGGTGGTTGGATTATTTATATGGTTTTTCTTATCAAATAGAAAATCAACAAAAAATTCAGCATCTTCACCTTCAACATCTGCTACCACCACTACTGATAATGAAAATTTTAAACCTTAATAATTAAATTTCATCATTTATTTATTCTTGTTTATTTCCCAAATTCGGTGTGATAATTAATATAATTACATAACATATCTTTAACCAAATTTAACGTTAGTAACTTTATTTTCTTTATCAATATGAACGTTCAATCTATTTTCATAAATTTAAATATAAATTAGCATAATCATATAATTATGTAATGTGTAAATGCTACTCCTTTCACTGACCTTTCAGGAACAAAATTCATGATGTAAAACGTATCTGGTCCTATAACACGGTGATTTTTAGGTAAATCTTCTATTTTAAAAACCTATTCATAATAATTGTGAGTTGAATGGTATGACCGACTATTGATAATATAACAATTATTAATAATAAAGTAATTTACATTTGAATCGTCTGTAGCTGCAACTTCACCAGAAGAAACTAATTTCTTTCCAATTAATTTTTGATGCCATTCTTCGATTGAAGTACTTTCTGCCATTTTTAATATTATTAGCAAGAAATAGAATAATATACGTATAAATTTTAATGTCATTAATCTTCCACTTGATATTAAGGGTAGAATATATATGTAACGTAAATTTTATACAGTTAATGTTTAAATGTAGATCTTCAATTGATTGACCAATGAAATTTATTTGTGTGACATCATAATATTAGTAATTCACAAAAGGGATCTGCAAGTATATATGACGTCGTTAGAAAATGGGTTCGATTCATTTAATTGCACTTGTCACCAGACAATGAAGAACACCTTCAAAGACTATGAAACTTTCTTGTCCCAAATGATTACAACACAAACGTTCACTTCCTTTACTTGCCGGTGCTACAAAAATGATAACTGAATTGGGTATGTATGTGAAACCCATTATTCTGCAAGGTATTAGGCTATGGGATTTCAGTAGAACTTTATACTTGGAGTTGGCAAAACTATACCTTGCTTGAGCAGAGGGAGAAGACTAAATTGTTTCTTAAATAACAAGATTTGAAATTTCTTATTTGTATCCTCTTTTCTAATGCGATTGACTCGTTTTCTAGGCAGTCTGTGCTATATATATGAATCACAAGATTCAAGAGTTCAATCATTTAACTTTATAATGGTTCTACTGAAACTAAATGAAATGTGAGAAGTAATGATGTGACTAGAAACTCTTAAGTTTAGGGCTTAGAGTAGGTTTTCTACAGAAACTGTTTAGAAAATTCAAAAGGCTTAGGGCCATAGCATTGATTGAATATGGAACTAAAACATGGCTGTTGAGAAAAAGAATTGCAAATTCTAATGAATTTGAAGTAGGAATGAATCCATGATACATTTTATTTGGAACCTGAACTCAAGCTGTAGATTATCCAAAGGATTTGCTCAGCTATCTCCAATGATCTTTTACTCGCAAAGCTTAGCAAAGTGAAAACTAGAAAACATCTTGCCTGCTGTTAATAATCAGGATTATTGTCCTGAGAATGTACAAAACTTATTTCACTACCGAAATGGCGAATTCTGCATTTAGCCATGCTAAATTAGGGAGTTTTTTTCAGCCAAGTCGTGATCTCAGTAGCTTGTTTGTTTTCTAATGTTGTGGCAAATTGTCTGTTAATAATATGGAAGAACCATGTGGCTACGGGTATTAAATAAGGGTTTATTGTAATCCTTTTTAATTTACTACGATTATTAAATATGTGAATCAATCAATTCTTCTAAATAATTCTGTTGGATTGCTAAGCCCATAATATATAATCTTTTAAGATTTATTTCATTGTTTTTAATAAAATTTGATAAATCTGATCTAAATGGCCCATAATAAATTTTCTCATAGTTTCAATACTTGGAAGTATGATTGATTTTAAATTTTTATTTTATTAATAGCACCGTTAATTTGTGGTGGGGTGTTGACATTATGCCAATGTTTATTTAGTATAGAAGAATAAAGTGTATTATAATATATATTTAAATGTTTCAATAAAAGTTCAAGTGGCAAATTTCAGTTCAAACAATCATAATCGGGCGCTTATTTCATGGCACAAATGATATTTCTTTTGGAGGTAATTTTTATTATGAGAGCTAATGTTTATGAATAATAAAAACTTGGGCAATAGTCAATCTTAGAATACAAGGTATTCTCATCCAATCTGTTCCTTAATAACATAAAAAAAAATTTTTTATTATAGTTTACAAAAAAATATTTAAAATACAAGTTAAAAATTTTAAATCATACAAGAAGTTGTAATTTTTCTGCAATTGCAAGTTGTGTACGTGTCAAATTTGCAAGATAGTCGACCATCAATAAATCCTAAAAATATTTTATCGTTTAGCAAAAAAATTCTTTTGTAAAATAAAACCATAAATGAAAACAAGATGAACCTGTAAATGGCTGTAGAACATTTTTTCAAATTCTTTTTTATCTATAGTTGGAACAACTGAAATTGAATCCATCAAAAATCTTCCGATTGTACTATTTGGCAGAACACTCCCATCCTATAAAAAAAGCATTCATTCATTTAATATATACAACTAACCGTTATATTATATATAATTGTTTTTTTAAAAAAAAAAGACATGCCAAAACTTTATTTGTATAATTTATAATTCTTTCCAACATATCTTGTACAGATAATAAAGTCTTCTCAATATTATCCATGTCTGAAATTAAAGATGTTGAACGATTTACATCATCCTTGGCAGATGCAAGAAGATTAACTAAAAAAAAGTTTTTAAATATGGTAAATACACTGGGAAAAAGGAAAAAAATAATAATAATTCAAAAATTTAGTTTTTTGTTACATACGTCCACTTTTCTCGGCATCAAAATATTTAACGTCACATGGAACAGGTAAAAACAAACAATTTTCTGGTTTCGCTGAAATACCAATTGGTGCACTAAAAAATAAATAAATAAAATGCTTGTTTAAAAAAAAAACCATATAAAATAATCATCACATACATGTATATATACACACGTATTTAGTTTATTTAGTTTATTACCTTACATAGGTTTTGACGCCCAAGAGTTTTTCTTCATTTTTAATATCTGTGTCCATTGTCAAATGAATTGCTTGAAATGGTACTGACACTTCTTTTGAATAAAAATCATGTATTAAGGCATTCCATTGATTAAGATTAGAACCTGTAGCATACCATCCAACAATAACTTCTTTTGCATTTACTTTTTTATGTAGCTCGAACATATTTTGATGATATTCCATATCAACTGCTACCTATTTTTTATATTAAAAAAGCCACAACTTATTAATACATTATTTAAATTAACATAATGAAAAGCAAGCTTTTTTTTTACCTGATTAAGAGTTTCATTGTGTGGGACGGGAAAACAGTTGCGAACTTCTACTTCACTGCCATCCTCATTTCTTACTCCTAACAAGGTACCTATAACCCTATGTTGTTCTCTTTGTCTTCTTAAATAATGATCGAGAATGGAAAAAAACACTACCGGATGCACTGAAACTGTAAAAGAACGACTTTGAGGAACTATAAATCCTGGAGCCGATGATGTAGGTGGGAACGATAAATTTAAAGCTGAGGTTGCCGCGTCAATTGGCATTTTTATTTATTTTTTTATTAAAAAAATTTTTTTTTTATATTTTTATATTTGATGGACAATTTTGATTATCCAATTATTATTAAAGATCGGATTATACATTTTTTTTGACAAAAAAAAATTCTGAAATAAAAAATGTCGAAACGAAGTAAAAAAAAAGTTGAAATAGATTCTCCAGTTTTGCCAAAGACACAATTTGGTAAAATAACACACAAAAATGAAATATCAACCGGTGACGAAGGCATGGGAGAATTTGAAGATCCTTGGGAAGACGAATTTGAGTCTGAAGAAGAAATAGCAAGAGACGAAGACGAAGAGGAAGAGGAGGAAGATGGAGAAAATGATAATGAAAAAAATTGTATTGTTTATAATCAATTTTCTAAACACACACACATATATAAAAAGAAATTAAATTGAATTATACATGTATATTTAGCAATGGAAGTTGATGAAAAAATATTGGAACGTCGAATTTATCTTCCTGGACAAAAATTAGAGAAAGACGAAGTTCTTGAAGCTGATCAATCGGTATATGAAATGCTGCATTCCATGAGTGTTAAATGGCCATGTCTAAGTTTTGATATTTTGCATGATAACTTGGGAGAAGATAGAAAAATGGTGTGCACGCATGTTTACAATTTTACTTTTAAAGATGATTCTTTTACATGATATTAATTATATAATATAATTTAATTAAATACAGTATCCAGCAACAGTATATCTTGTTGGAGGAACACAGGCAGATAAACCAAAAAATAATGAATTAATGATAATGAAAATATCTCAATTACATAAAACACGAAACAGTAATAAAAATTTTTATTAATGTCCTTCTTTCACCTTTATAAATGATAATAACGATAATAACTAGTAAAATTAATTGTTTCTTTTGTTTATTATATTATTAGATCATAATTCTGATGATGATTCTGATGATGATGATAATGATGATGACGATGATACATTTGATGAAGATCCTATCTTGGAACATAAGAGCCTAAAACATTATGGAGGTGTAAATCGCGTTAGGGTACATACATGCACACATACACATATAAAGTTATATATTTTATAATAATATCAAACATTAAATCAATGGTTTGTTTTATAGGCTATGCCACAAGAACATAGTTCTATTGTAGCTACTTGGTCAGATACTGGTAAAGTTCATATATGGGACATAAAGCCAGCATTAGATAGCATAGAAATAGCTGGTAAACAAATACCATCAAATGCATCAAAGCCATTATACACAGTGGAAACTCATAGTGCTGAGGGATTTGCCATGGACTGGTCACGGACTGTAACTGGAAGGTATATTAATATTATAAAATATTAAAATCTATTCCGTTTTTTTAAATAAAAATTCATGGGAGGTTTTGAACATTTTATTTTTACTATAATTTTAAAAGATTAATAACTGGTGATATGCGTTCAAATATATATCTTACAACGAAGTCTCAATCCACATTTAAAGCAGATTTCGTGCCGTTTGTAGGACACACGGCATCGGTAGAAGACTTACAATGGTCGCCATCAGAAAATAGCGTGTTTGCGAGTGCGTCTGTTGATAAAACAATAAGAATATGGGATATAAGAAAAAAGAAAGATGCTTTATGTGTTAAAGCACATGATACAGATGTTAATGTCATTACTTGGAATAGGTTTGAAATTTAAAAATTTGATACTTGAAAAATTGTTATGTCAACTATGATTACAATTTATAATTTAAAATTAAATTCTTTTACTTTTTAGAAAAGTTGAATACTTAATTGCGTCTGGATCAGATGATGGTATTATAAGCATATGGGATTTACGAACATTTGTAAAGTAAGTATATGATAAATAACATGTATATGCATGAAATTACATTTATCATTTATGTGAATTATTAATTTATTGTTTAAATTCGATAATAAGCAATAATACAAAACCTATACCAGTTGCATCATTCAAATGGCATTCAGCCCCAATTACTTCAATTGAATGGCATCCAACAGAAGAATCAGTATTGGGTGTATCTGGAGCCGATGAACAAATAACCATATGGGATCTTTCAGTTGAAAATGACCCCGAAGAAGATTCTTCAAACAAAATTGTTGGCAACAATGGTGTCACTATTCCTTCACAATTATTATTTATTCATCAGGTAAACTTATTATTATTATTATTATTATTATTATTATTATTATTATTATTATTATTATTGTTATTATTATTATTATTATTATTATTATTATTATTATTATTATTATTATTATTATTATTATTATTATTATTATTATTAGTATTAGTATTAATACAATAATATTAACAACAACTTATATTTTTGTTCTTTGTAATAATATATAACAGGGACAAAATGACATCAAGGAATTACATTGGCATTCACAAATTTCTGGTTGTATGATATCAACAGCTGCTTCAGGATTTAATATATTTAAAACTGTTTCTGTATAAACAAAAATATTTATTTTTATAAATATTAATATATATTTGTAAGATTACGTATTTAACTATGAAATAATAAAATAAAAAAATACAAAGAGCATTATATAAAGTGTACAAAATTGTGATACCGGTAGTTCATTATAGAAACAGAGAAGCAATCAAAGAATATAAATTTGTTTTTCTCTCCAAGCGTTATTTCAATTTGTTTCACTTTGACCTTAGCTGGGCTTTTTCTTATTTAATTTAACCATTTTCACATTAGTGGATATTTCCTTATTCTTATTTAAATATTTTAGTTGCTCTTTCAATTATCTTTTTTCCACTTGTTCATTTTCATAATTGTTTTCTAAATCTTTTATTTTATTATTTTTTTTCTCTGTCCTCTTATTTTCAAGATCGGTACCAATATAGAATTTCTAAAACAAAAAAATATGCTATTCAAAGCTAATCCTGATTTTCATTACCTACAATGCTATTGTTATTATTACTCTAGATGATCGTTACCGATTCAATAAAGAAAAATAGGTCAAGGATAATCGTGTATGATGGATATTTTATATTTTATATTTGACGCAGCTTTGAGTAACATTAAACACATGTCTTCTGATAAAGCAGCCAGCTTATTAACACGTACAGAACAAAGACATTATAGAAAAAAAGAAGCAAAAAGAATTCAAGCTTATGAGATTATAGAAAAGTTTGAGAAATCTTCTTGTATTAATTTGTTTTCAAGCGAGGCTACAAAATATTTATGTTTGGTGAATGTTTGTTATGGTGGAGTTGGTGGAGTTACTTCTGAACAGTTGACAAAACTTTTTGAAAAATATGAAGGTTGGGTTGGAGTAAACTTAACTCATGGAAAGGTATTATGATTTTTTTTTTGAAGCAGTTGAGCAAAGGTTATTATTACTCATTTCTAAATAAATCAATAATTAATTAATCAATCAATCAATCAATCAATAACATGATGTAGCCATATTCTTTTGTTATTTTTCAAACAGCTTTAGATGCATTTCATGCACGAGAATCACTTCATGATAAACAATGTGAAATTTTAAAAGGGAAAATAATATTTATTGAATTCGTTAATTTATCATATCAAAATTTCATTAATCAAATTAATCACAATAAAAATAAGAATCATGAGAAAATACCGGGATTAATATTGTTAGAGGAATTTATCTCGTTTGATTTAGAAAAAATTATAATAAATCACGTAAATTCAATTGACACTTGGATTCAAATTCAAAATCGTTTTGTGGTAAAGTGATAATATGTCTCTTCTTTAAAAAATTTTTTTTAGCAAATTCATTAATTATTGTCAATTAGTCAATTAATTAATTAATTCATATATATATATGTTTATTCATTCACACCACACACACCATATTTATATGTGAATATAGTCACACTATGGTTATAAATTTAATTATGACACAAACAAAGTTGATGAATTAAATTTAAAGTTTCCATATTACATTAAATCACTACTGGAGAAATTAAAAAATTTGTATCCTTCATTAACAATACCAGATATGCAACAATTAACAATTCAAATTTATCCTGTTGGCACAGGAATCCCACCTCATGTTGATAGTCACTCATCATTTGGTGATACAATTTTGTCATTTAGTTTGGGAAGTTCTATTATCATGGAATTTAAAAATTTTAAAACTGGTGAAGTTGTTAACGTTGATTTACCAAAAAGATCGTTAGCTATACTTCAAGATGATGCAAGATATTTGTGGAGTCATACTATAAGGTGGTGATTCGATTTTATTTTATTAGCAAGAAAAAGAAGCTTCTTTTTTTTTCATTAAAGTTTTTATTTTTAATAATAGAGCAAGAAAAAGTGATTTACTGGATAATGGATTAATTAGAGAAAGGGATGAAAGAATATCGTTAACATTGAGAGCAATTAACACAACATCAAGTTGTAATTGCTCATTCCCTGAAATTTGTGACAATGATAAATTAATTTGAACACGTGCACACTATAATTAAATTAATTCCTTTATTTTTTTTTTTTAATGTAAAATTTTAAAAATTATAAAAATTAATTTAAAATACAAATTTTTTTTTCTGGAAATTATTTTATAAATATATACTATTTTTTTTTTTGTTCAAGAGTTATTCGTCCAAGTGATATAATGCTGAATAATAATGTTTTACAATTTGTCCAAGTATTTATCTAAACTTGGAATTTCTTCAGAAAGACCTTTTCTTTTCCTTATGGTTTTAACAATATCAGCTATTTTTCCTGGTTCTAAAGGTGTTCCATTCATAAGTTGCCTATTTTTTTAAAAAAAAAAATTTAGAATAATTATCATATTGTTAAATAAAATCACAGCGCAATAAATTTTTCAAAAAATACGTACCAATGTGAAAATACAGCTTGTGGGAAAGCCTGTCCACCAGTGTTTGAACGTAAATCTGCAGTAAAACCAAATGATTCATTTACCTATATAAAAACAAAAAAATTATTATTACAATTATGAAAAATATTATATATATATATATATATATATATGCATACATCCAGCAATTAAATATTCACTAGTAATAAGATAACTTACTGGTAAATATGCTTTGACATTATATAATGGAGTACCAGGACGTTGTTCTTCAGCAAAGACATGACCACGTCTTCTATTTAATACACCATAGATACCACCCATTGCACCTTCTGGACATTGAATTTCGACAAGGAAAACAGGCTCCATAATACCGGGAGTAGCTGTTAAAACAGCAGCATAGAGGACACGACGACAAGTTGGAATAATTTGACCACCACCACGATGAATGGCATCAGCATGTAGCACAACATCAAGTATATTGAAACGACATGATCTCATATTTTCCTCTGAACAAACACCTTCTTTTGTTGCCCATTGGAACGCAGCAATACATGAATCCTTGATTTCACTAAGGTATTGTACTCCCTTTGTTACATCAACTAATAAATTAGGACCAGTTGTTTCGGGACCAAAGCACCAAATCTTACGAGCATCAGTAACATCCCAACCATATTCTTCAGCAAGGACACGTGCACGTGCTTTGAAATCATCACGTGGTGTTATTTTCCCACTTTCAATATCATTGGAGAGCTCTTCTTGCATAGGGAAAGCTTTCACATATAGACGATTGTGTTTATTTGGTGATTTTGATAAAGCAGTTATTGATGATTCAGTTTGTACTGTTTCTCTGTATGATACAACGGGATCACCAGTTTTGATTGGAACCTGAGCATGATCTTCTTCCAAATCTTTTAAGCAAATTTCTAAATGTAATTCACCAGCACCAGCAATAATGTGTTCACCAGTATCAGCTGTATAACATTGAACACAGGGATCTGACTTTGAAAGACGTTTTAAGCCTTCGACCAATTTAGGTAAATCATTTGCATTTTTTACTTCAACGGCTACTTTGACGACAGGCGACACAGAAAATTTCATAACCTTTAAGTTGTGAGCAATTTCTGATGTGCTGATGGTACCTGATTTAAGTAAATATTGATCTACACCAACTAAACCGACTATGTTACCAGCTGGACAATCTTCAATTGGTTCGACATAACGACCCATCATAAGAATTGTACGTTGAATTGATTTTAAAAATAAGTCTTCCTTTTTTCCAGGTACGTAATTAGGACCTTGGATACGAACTTTGAGTCCAGATTTTACGGTACCAGAAAACACACGACCAAAAGCATAGAAACGACCTTTATCAGAGGTAGGTACCATTTTAGACACGTACAACATTAGAGGTGCATTAGGATCACATTCTTTTATTCCCATAGCGCACTCGTCGTCACTAGGACCTTCGTACAACATTTCAGCACGATATTTTTGAGCAGTTACAGGTGATGGCAAGTGAATTACTATCATTTCCAGTAAAGCATCTGATGCAGGTAAGAATTTTCTCATTACAATTTTTAAAAGTGCTTTTCCTTCTAATTCTTTTTCTTCAACTTTTAAGGCAATTTCCAATTTTTCCAACATTTTGGTTGTCTCTTCTTTTTTGAAGTTCATGATGGCATCAAACAATTTAAATATAGGATCCAATACAAACATACAGAAAGCACGTTCAAGCTGTTTTCCCTCGGGAGTATTACCTTTAGTGGTCCATTTTTTTGTGGCAGGATTAAAAAAGTTTTCACCCCAAAGCTTTTGCATCATTTTTTCTTTATCAACACCGAATTTCTTTGAGTAACGCTCAGCAAATTGACGAAGGGTGAATCCCCAACCATGAAGACCGGAACCAAAAGCGACAGTACCCTTCTCAGGATATACTTGGATTTCACCAAGAGCTTTATCGTAATACGTTGAAATAATGACATTCACTGATTCTATTGTACGTTGAAAAGACTAAAAACAACGGAATTATAAACATAAAAATATGTGAATATAAAAATGTCAAGTACAAAAAAATAAAAATAAAAATAAAAATAAAAAAAAGCAAATAATCTTTTTTTATTTAATAAAATAACTTACTGTATATAAATCTTCTTTTGTAAGTTGTAACTCTAATAAGGCACGATCTACCTTATTAATAATTACCACAGGTTTAATACGCTCAGCAAGAGCTTGACGTAATACAGTTTCAGTTTGTACGCAAACACCTTCAACACAATCCACCACCACTAAAGCACCATCAGTAACACGTAGAGCAGCAGTAACCTCAGATGAAAAGTCAACATGCCCGGGGGAATCGATCAAATTAATCAAGAATTCATTACCTATATATTATAAATGAATTATGATTATGATGATTATGATTATTATGATTATTATGATTATTATGATTATTATGATTATTATGATTATTATGATTAAAATATATTATAAAAGTATTTTTTTAATAAAATTATTAAAACATTATTTCTAATAATGATTATTATTAATTAAATTTATATACCGTCTGTTTTTTGTTTGATGTCAGAAAGAGAATCTTTTGCTAATTCAAAGTACATTGAGATGGCAGTAGATTTAATGGTGATGCAACGTTCC